CCTTCAATTACACTTCAGAATGACGAAAATACTTCCAATACTTCACCGGTCTTAAATAAATTATGAAATCCAGGACAGATTTCCAAAATAGAAATGCTGGCTTTACCAACTGCAGGATGGCTTTTATTTCCCTGGTTATGAAGGGCTACATTTTAACACCATCTTACAGGAAAGTAAAACCTGGAGCAGAACTCGGAAGAGATTCATAATACAAGCAATGGCAGCTCCAGAGGAGCTGCTGGCATTAACCCAAAGCTCGCTTGTTGCCTCGGCTTTCACCAGTAATCTCTGACTGCAGTAAACTCAAGCAAACAAAAGATGACAAGGACAACAGTAATAGGTTTTGTTTTGTTGGGTTTTTTTTAAGAAAATCCAAACATCCTGTAAAAGAAATTTCCCAACAAAGCATGATACTGAAGCTAGGTATCTTTGGATATTTCAGCAGGTCTATTGAAACAATCTCCACCTTGAATTGACAGCAGTCATCTAATCTTTGTGCTTTGCAAGGCCACTGGCTCTGCTTAAGAACTCCCAGTGGAGAACTACAGAAGTTCCATGGTACACATCCACCTTAGAAGACTGACCACCATAAAACAAACCCAAATTCTTCCTCTTTTAAAATACAGTTGAGGAAAAGAAGAATACTATAGCTCACAAAAGTGAATTTGAGTGGCAAGTAAATACAATATAATAAGGAAGAAAGGGAAGAGAGAATACAAAGTTCTTGGCAGTGGGAAAAAGGAAAAGAGCCTGCATAGGAAGTAGTGCAATTCCACTGGGAATATGAAATGGAAAGGGTATGTTAAGGGAAGAAAGATGAGAAGCACATGTGAAGGGGGAGAAAGTGTAAAGCAGAACAAAGGCTGCATTTAGGTAAGAACAGAACTGTGTAGGTGATTTCTTTTTAGATGGTAAGACACCAGATACCAACTAGGTAGATCACTACTGTTTTTCTAACAGTGTCTTAGGTTTCTAACAGCATTCATTCCTTTTTCATTAATGTGGCCTTTCTTTTACTGTTTTGCTTCATTGCAGCCAGGTAGTTCAGTGCTTATGAAGGTTGCACCTCTGACCTGAACTGAACAAGTACAAGATTAATTCACAAAGCATTTTAGAATTATTATAGTGAACTCACTGTCTAGTGGCTGCCTATTCCCCATCACATCCATTATCAACAGCTATCAAATCCTCTAAAATACAGCAGCTCTTCAGAAACTGATGTTTTCCATACAGAAAGGACACGTTAGACTTGAGTACTGCACACAGACACTCAGCCACATGATCAATGTTAATCATGTCTCAGCAAAATTCCGTCACTCAATATGGTTTTATATCTGCTTTACACAATATAGTACAGTTTATTAATATATTTATCAGAATTGTGCAGGAGTAAATGACACTACAAACCACTTGTCCATATTGACATTTATTTTTTCCTAAGCACGCCAACAAGTCATTAATCTAGACTATTTGTAAGTAAACAGCTACATGACCTGAACTTTAAATTAAACCAAAAGTTTGAGCATATATATAGCAATATTTCTTTAAAAAGATCCATCATCAATACTGTATGTTATCCAAAGCTAGTGGATCACATTACTGTATACTCATATCTTTCATAATTTACTTTTCTAAATATTGCTTCTGAAAGTCCTAATATGGTCTACATATAAATCTTCTCTAGTCTGCTCTAGTGGATAGTCATTCCTGATTGCCATTTTGGAATATCTTTATTGGACTTAGACATTCATTCAACTGCTTTTCCAGGTTCATTTTAACTTTCAAGTAAGTTTAGCATACAAAAAATGCCAAAAAAGGCTAATTTTAAGAAAGTTGTTTCTTTACACGTGTTAGCATATTTAGATGTTGAATGCTATGCATTACAGAACTACTGAAAACCCTCTCCAATAACAGTGCAGATGGTACATAAAGGTTTGGCATTTCTTCTTATTATCTTTTGTAGGTTCACGACAGGAACAAAAAGGAATAAATATTATGAAAGCTCACAAAACTAATGAGTAGCTAGTGCTGGGAGGTAATACTGAAACAGGAAAGAAATCCAAAATCTTGAATTTCATATCATATCATATCTAGATGCTTCTCATATATACATATACAGGTATAATATGTGCATGCACATATATTTTATAGATGGCACAAAACAAAACTTGAATGGAGGAGCTAGAAATAATTTTTTTCATTAGAAAATTTCTTCTTTCAGGGGAAACTCCAAGCCATTAGATGAATACAATTACAGTTGTTTTCACTGTTAGATAAGGTTTTTGCTTCAGGGAACTAATGTATAGGAACTTCTTCAAAGTAAAGGAGTGAATGCAGGCACAAGATAAACTGGGCAGGCACAGTCTCAAAAATAAATTAAAGTCCTGACCTCACCTAAATTCCTTTGTGGCAATATGGACAACTTTTTTTTTTTTCTTCCCTTGTTATGTCAAAGTAACTAATTTTCATTACAATTAAGTGGACTTTCCTTGTTCATATTTAAATCAGACATTGAAACCAACATGATGTTGTTTTGTGACACTGTCTACATATAATCTCTGTTCCCGAGGAAATTAGCTGTCCTCTTAGTAGAATCTCTCATGAAGAATTCCAAGTTTTCCCCATTTTCTTGCTGTCTCTGGCACCCCAAGAATTCCTGTTTCCTTTTTGTCTCTTTTAACTAGGAAGAAACCTAAGAAACTCAGATACAGTCATTCAAATCTTCCTCCTTCCTTTTCCCTTCTTATTTTGTCTCTGATAACTCACTCTGATTCTTTTACTGTCCCTTCTTCTAACCCATCCAGGTAACAGCAGCTTCAAGCTATTCCTTCCCCTTGTTTCCAGTCCTCACTGTACAACCCCAGACTCCTTCACTGCTGCCAGCAATGACATTTCACCATTCTCTTGCTTGCCCTCTTACTTTCAATTCCCAGTTGCTTGTCCACTTAGACTTTCATTTCTATTTCTTAAATTCCACTTTTTCCTGACAGCTTTTATAGGACATCCATTTCACTGAAAACATATGAAAACTTTGGTACAGCTAACTCCTGGAACTTAATGCAATACTCCTAGCTACTGGTTTCATCTGTCAGAACACACCTAAAAGAGGTGAGTTTAGAGACAGTTGAAAAGGTCTGTATTTTTCTTTAATTATGGCAGAATTTACAGGAACTCATGTAAGTTAAAGAGAAGAGCAGTGCAATGCCAGATCATTATTGACCAGAGAAGGCCTCAAGAAGCTTGGAAGGTGGTAGTAAGCTACAGCCCTATAGACAACAAAGGATGTACTTATGGGTAGCCACACTGCATTGATTGTCATATTTTATTCAGGAGATCTTTGCACAAAAACTTCTAGTTTGTGAATATTGGGCCATATGGACCTGGCTGGGCAAATACCATCTGGGCAGATTAAAGGCATCTGAAAGCAATTGGGTAAATAAAATCATGAGAGGAGATACTAAGAGTAATAATTTTTGTCTGCCTTAGACTGAGAAATATTAAAAATGCTTGACCTGGTTGTGGATGGACATGTTATGCCCTTGTAGGAAAAAATTGTCTAATTAATTTTGATTTTATTCAGACTACTTATGGTTTCTTCTAGTCCCATGCAGTGATGGTCATTTTCTGTAAATAGCACAGAAAGGACACTAACTCTCTATTCAGTGAGGATAACTCAAAAACAGATACAATAGAAAAAACATGCTCATTTTAGAGGAGGCAGACATCAGGCATGTGTTTCTCTAGGAAGAATATTACTTAAAGCTGAAGTTCTTAAAGTATGGCTATTCCTACAAGGCAAAGAAAACTTCAGATAGACTGTAGCTGAGCTCTTAATGATCTCTTCTCTTTCATTAGCTGTGGGTAGGAAGAGTAAGTAAAGGACTGCAAACGTATTCATGACTGTCATTAGCAAAAATGGCACTGTGCAAATCAATTTCCATGGATCCTGCTAGGATGGGCTTTCTAATTAGTCCATCATTAGACAGCTAACTTCTCACTACTTCTCAGACATCAAATAGTCCATCACCAACACATCACCCAAGTTAACAAGGAGAATTTTAATGAAAGCAAGGCAAATTGGCTTCTACCACAGAAAGCAGACAATAGGCTTTGTTACTAATCTTTCCCTATCCTCATTTCTATTCGTTATTTTAGTTTCTGTTCTTATAAACCTTTTAGTTTGCATCAGTAATTTTTTAACCTCCTTTTACTAAAGAATAGAGCAGCTGTAGCATGGAGGGGGTGGGGGAAAATGCTCGGATAAAGCCAAATAAGGTACAAGCTGAGATTGCTTCTGGGTATTTCAGAGCTTTCCATCTTATGATGCTGAAGAGAAATGTCAGCTTGCTACTTGTGGTTTTAAATGGAAACAGCCTGTGAAAAGCATTGGACTGATTGGCTCAGCAGTGCGGTTTAGATGAGCTTCCACCATGGTCATCCTGCCTCACACAGGGCAGATGCTCCAGTCCAAATGGTGGAGTTTGGACTTGAAAATCCTATCAGCAGGCACAAAAAGGGAAACTCCCTTAAGATTAAAAGTGACTTGACAAACAGATACACAAAGGAATAAAAGAATGCTTACCAAAGATAAAAATCTCTCCCTGAACAATGCAGTCATCTCAGTATTTGAGTAACAACATCAGTATTTATAATTTTTTCTTAATTGAGGAGAAAATATTTAAAAGCCTAAATTCTACATGGACATGTCCTTAATTTAAAATAGCTGTTCCTGCCTGAAGGAAAATCTGCTGCCCTACTGTTCAGACACAAGTCTGCCCATACCAATTTTCTGGTTTTCTGTATTTCACCTCCTTTTCTTCTTTATTACCAAGGACATTTACATGAAACAGCATTTTTGCTCTTAAGAGTTCATCTGTTCCTGCTGCTTATCCCCCCACCTGAAGTCATAATCCTCTGTTTGTGATGACATAATAATTTCCACCGCAACCAATTGTGATGCCACAAACGGAGGATTATGACTTTAGGTTGGAAATAAACAGCAGGAACAGATGAACACTTAAGAAACAAAGATCCTGTTTTCATGCAAATGTCTTTTGTCATCAAGAACAAGGTTAGAGAAATTCAGAAAATATACGATAAGAGCAAGCCAGCAAAATGGGTACTAAAGAGAAACTCTCCAAATTTTCCAGGAGGCATTCAGCTGCTCTTTCAAATTAACTTCCTACATAACTAGGAATTTTAAATGTTTCTGAAACATAGGTAACTTTCTATTTGATTGAATTGCCAGCATAATGTGATCTGAATTATTGACGTCTTCTCACCAGCAGGGCTAAGGCACTTTGCCACAGGGGTCATGACTGGATGAAAAGCCCCCTGATAGTGGGAACAAAGGGAAATCATCAGAAATAGGACCAAGAGAGGTTTCTAATATCAAAGCTCAGCTGGGCTATTTTCCTCCCCCTTCTTCAAAACCAAAATTCTCCAATTTCAGAAGTATCACTAACTGAAGAAATACTCAGGTGATCCAAACAGCATGAGCAGCAGAAGCAATTTGTGTTTTAATTTAGTTGGATCAATTTTGAGGTTGCTGCAGTTATAATTACAGGGCTGCAATGAATGGTGAAGCTCCCTCTATATTTAGTCTGAACACAGCCTAAAAGACGCAGTCCAAAAGGACACACCTAACAAAGCAAAGCAAGTATTTTTGCTGTGGTTAATGAATGGATGGGAAAAAATGAATCCATGAAGAAGAAAAACATCTGAATTTATCTTTCCTCTTGGAATAAAACCAACTCCTAAGCAAAACAGTTTAAGAAAAATTATTGACATTTTCACTATCAACTTTTTTGCTTTAAAATGGCAGGTATTCTAGAATAAATATTCAAAATACAGGCTCAGAAACATCTTCTGTGTTAAAAAACACAAATGTTTAGGTTAACTGCATTTATTTTTGGTTCTGATGTGCTCATAACATCACCACAGCGGTGATCAGCACTGCTCTCCTACTTCATGAGAAGCAGAACTGGGATGGATGGATGGATGGATGGATGGATGGATGGATGGATGGATGTGCATGACCATTCTCCTCTCTCAGATAAAGATTCCAGAAACAGGGGGAGAGTGGATGTTGGGGAGAGGTGACTGGCTGTTGAATGTGTATGTATACATTTATTTATTTTACTACAGTAAGTAGTAAGTATACTTACTTACCATACTAAGCATTCACCTGATGTGAGTTTCCCATCTGAGACTTTTGCCCACATGAACCATGGTAGGCTCTCAAATGCAAACTGTTGTGCCTGTCTAAAGCTGGGAACATGGCCTGACACACCCCAAGAGCACACACAAAATGGGACAGGGGCTCAGAACTCTGGTATCTTGTGTTGAAAGGTCGCCTCATGTCCTGAAATGGATCTAACAGACCAAGGCAGGTAATAGTAATGTGATTTCTTGCTTGTTCTTTAATTTTTACTTTTCAAAGATGCAGGACCTTGGCTTAGAGCTATCCAGCCTAGTTTGAAGCAGCTGGCTGAATTCCTGAATTAAAGACACAATTTTCCTTATCTTCCTACACAAACAGGAGCTCCAGAAGATGATTCACACCAAGTTCGGAATCACCCTTGTGAAGTGCCTCACTGACCACAGAAGGAAGGGAGTGATGAACATTTATAAAGGGCAATGTCTACCTGTGCATACCATTCAGCTCTCCAGTCTCCAGGCAATCTAATTCCATCCCACTTGCCCTCTCAGACATACAGCAGATGAACCATGGTCTTCCAGTGCTAGCAGCAAACTTTTCAGCCTGCCACTCACAGTACTATGTTCAGACAACCATTCTGTGGAGTCTCTGCTGAGAAACAGGGCAAAGAAAATTATCCCGCTATTACACTGTCACATTTCATGAACATCCTAAAGTCTAATTTCTGAGAGTATTTTAAATAAGTTTTAGGCAAACTACACCTTTATCTTCTCGCTTTTATTGCTTAAGTTTTCTTATTTTGGTTTTAAAGTAGCATTTGAAATTCAGAAAGAAAAGGGGGGAAAACAGAACATAAAACCAAAAGTGCAATTTTTAAAGAATGTCTTTCTTAAAATGTATTCTTCCATACAGCTGCTCCTTTAAGCCAACAGCAGCGCTCAAAGAAGCACAGATATCAAATCTCTAAAAACGGGTGTTTAATAATTAAGTTACATAAATTGAACATAATTAAGTTACACCAGCTGGGCATGTGCTATGTGTATTTGAATTATGAGGTCGGCAGTAAAAACCAAAATAGAACAGATGATAAGGAATTTCTATACAATACTCCACCTATATTAAATAGGTGGAATATTGTATATATAATGTATATTAAATGTGCCAAGATATTCAGACTCTAAAAGAGCCTTAAGTAGGTACAGGAAGCTAGTTTGTATTTTAAATTAATTTAATAGATCCAATTAAAAAGTGAAATATGAAAAATTAAAACATCTCTCCATTATTGCCAGTTTGATAAAATGGAAAGGAAGAGGGACAAATGAAACAATTTCACTCTCAAATCTGCCTGCAGTTTTTGATGTAACCCCAAGCCATAATTCTCAAATCATCACAGAAGAAAGATTACTTATTCTTGATAGTCTCTAGAAGTCAGTTTTCTTAATAAAAGCGTTTTTGCTTTTACTACTAGATCTAGCTGAGAATTGTTCAGAGAAATTTGGACCCAGCAGGCTAAATCATAGTATTTTATACACTTGAAAAGACATATACCATATCCAAAATGTCTCATCCATAAAAGCACTTCAGACAAATCTGCAGTGCAACATGAAATGCCAAAAATAAATAAACCACCAACAAATAAAATAAAAGTAATCCAAACCAGAAACAAACAAACAAACAAAACCCCAGAAATTAAAGGGATACAAGAAATTATAACAAGTTGTCTAGCCTATCTATTGTCCACAGAAGAATCAAGGTTTATGGTTTTCTTGAGAAAAACTCCAACAGCAGATGAAAGAAATCCAACAATTAAGACTCCATGACATCACAATTTGACAGAATTCTTTCTGTTAGAAATATTTTCCCAACTTGCATCTACCTTACTAGAGCAGTTTACAGTTCTTTGCCACTTCTCCTACCCACCCTGTACACAGAGGATTTCTTTTTTTGCAGCAGACTTTTAAGTGTTTGAAGATTATTTTTTAAATCCCCTCTCCCATCTTGTCTTCTTTAGATTAACCAGCCCAGATACTTCAGTTCTCCTCCAGACACCAAGTTATCTAAGGCTGATTATCTTCACTGCTCTCCCCTGTACTCCCACTGCTTCACCTCCTCCCTGGAGGATGCACAGAACAAAACACCACACTTCAGTTTAGGCCTTAGGGATTACTTCACAAGGTTTCTTGTGTGGACTCTGATGTCCTTTTCACAAATTTAACCCTTCAGCCTTGGTGGACCAAAGACTAAACATTAACATCAGATCTTTTTTCTACAGAACTGCCCCCTAGCCAGTTATTCTCTACTCTATGTTCATGCATTTTATGCCCCTTATTGCTCTAAAGTCTAGGAATTGATGCTTCTCTTTGAAGCAGTGGGATGATGGTGTCATCCCACTTTCCTCCCAAACCACTTCTCCAACCTGCCAAGATTATGCTCAATTCTCACTGTGTCCTTCAACATATTTGCAGTCCCTCCCAAGTGTGCATCATTTGCAAACTTAGTAACTGTAATTCAGACGACAGAATGAAAAGCACTAATGACTGTGCTGAGTATTACTGGTCCAGAACTATCTCCCACCCTCCAAGAGTGACTCAACAGGTCCAGCAAGCAGCCTGATTTTACACTCTTCACTCTGGAGACTCAGCTTTCTTCCAGGTACAAATACTACATCAGAAATCTTCTACTTTATTTCCCAAAACAGATCTTTGGCAGACACTCAGCTGCCCACAAAATGATACCCAGGTACCATTAAATATGTTATTGATATTTATATTGGCAGAGACAAATGGAGCAATCTACTGTCTCCTCACCAGAGAACCTCTGTTTCAAGCTTTATCTGAGAATGTACATTTATGTATGAGCAGATGTACCTTCACATACAAGGCAGTTAAAATGAACACACTAGTTTAAGTGTTGAACATTTTGACAGGCACAAAAGCCCCCAGAGTTTTAGTCTTTCTATAACCAGAAAAAACAGGGATTCTGCATACAATTGCACTGTGTTAGTTGTACATTAATTATTTTTTCTGTTCCTCATAAAGATGAGGACAGACTTGGCTTTGGTTTCTCTATACCTCAAGTGAATCCAGGCATTTGATTATGTCCACAGAAAGGAAGTACTTTAGCAGGCTTCATCAAGGAGATGTCAAATGCATATTATATATGCATCCATCCTTACTACAGCTCTTGTTTTGATATTATCTGACTTTAGAGAAATTGAGAAAAAGGCATCACTTCTTCAGAAGGTAAAGTATATTAACTAATAGCAGTGCTTTGCTGAGCCTTTTTTTTATAAAGTCTGCTAAGGTACATGTTCAGTAACCACCCATAGCAGAACCAAACATGGAACTTGAGATACCAGCCATTGTTAAAACAGTTATAAAGGAAATAAGTAATTTTATTTGTCCTGGAATTTGAAAACTTATCACTAGATTTTTTCTAACTCGGAATGCATCTAGCTCATTAGGATTACTATATATGCCATGTATTTTTTAGTATGGTGTCAGGAAAAGGAAAGACATTGCTAAAACAGAATGGCAACAAAAACAAAAGGTGGTCATCTATCTGCCTACCTTAGAAACCCAATACAGTATTGTTGTAATTTGCTCTCAATAAATGACCATTAATTAATCTTTTTACATGAGAAGTTTATGGTGATAAGCTTCTACTGATTTTAAAGTTAAGAATATAACTGGAAAACAACTACATGCAGAATGCCTTCCAAAAGTGTAGCACAATAAATATGCTTTGCGTCCCGCATTAATCTCTGCAAAATTATGTACTGAGATAAGATTAAGTCCTTGCTCAACTCATAACAATGCAAGCATTGCAGTTAACTGCAGTAACTGTGAAAAAAGCTGGCCCTACTGATGCACTGGGAGCCGTTCGTCTTAAAGAGGATTTCACACATTCTAAGCTTCTTCAATCGAAGAGGAAATCAATGTTTACCACCCAGAGCAACACATGGAATTAGTTCTCATCCAACCTCTGAAAAGTCATTTATTTTCTATCCTTGAAAGAGCTCTACATCTCAGAAAGTTAAAATACATTGAGTAAGGTCTCTACAAATAATCTTTAATCCTCCATTTCAAAGCCTTCACTCTACCTCCACAAGACACATTTGGGTGAATAATAAATTTTCTAAAAGAGAATTGTATAGTCTAAAAGCTTGTTTTTAACCAACTAATAATACTAGAACCATTAATAAGGGGCCTTTGCTTCCAAGGGCAAATGCATTGGAAATACTACCTCCCCCTGAAGCGCTCACTAGAAATTAATTGTTTCACAATTCATAATCAAAGTACTGACTCAGAGAAAAGTCACAATCTAAATTTCTTGTCAATGATAATCAAAATATTGGAAAGATATGCAATATCAGCTATCAGAAATATTAGAGAGAAGCTTACATTTTAATAAAGCTGACTTTGCAAATCCCTTCGCATTTAGACCTCTATCCATGTTATATTGCTGTTGTCGTTTATGAACTTGTGATCCATTACAAATTTACAAGTCAACAGAGCGTGCCAGCTGAATTTAGATACAAATGACAGAGATCACAAACATCTACTGACCTTTCTGCCAGAGGGCAGGATCAGGAGGAGGGGGAGGGAGTCTACTTCTCCATTTTAACTGCATGCCATAAAAGCAGAGATTGGAAAACAATTCCTTTACTGTCTTCCCAACTAATAAAATACTTAAATTCTGGAAAACTCTTTCCAGTATGACTAGAAAGTTCCAGGATTAAACAAACATCAGGTTCATACACTCTGAGGAGTCACTGGAAACTATTCTCTCTCCATTACCAACACATTCTTTGCCCCTCTGCTTACACACAGTTCACATGAAATACACATATGAAGGACAATGTTTGAGGATTGTCTGTATTTGATGTTGATTCATTACGAACAAAATGTTACCAAGACTAACACATCATCTGACAAACCACAGGCTCTCAGCTTTCAAGATAGATAAATAATGGCTAGATAAAATTACAGATAGCTAGATAAACTTGTTCAAATCTGAAACTCAGACAGTGTCCTGTGAGATCAGCCCCATTTGATCAGTCGCTCCCTGCCATAAGCAAGGCAAGGAAACCGTGAGCCGACAGCCTGAGAGCTTCCGCTGCGTCACGAACTCAGAGCTTCTGCTCTTCAGTGTAACTTTCATGTACAATCTTGACATAATTATCTACATTTAAAATCTCTTCTGCAGAATGTTTGCAAATTTTTAGCCCACTTCTTAAAATTTATATGAGAATTCCACAGCTTGACAAGCTTTAACTTCTTCATTCCTTGAATGAAGAGTTCTGGATATGGAAAGAATAAATACTCAAGAAAACACTCCATGTCTGCTTTAAGGACTAGATCACAGTTCCTGTGAAAACTACTGATGTTTAAATTAGCATGATCAGATTTATTTTTTAAAATTTAGATTTACATTTCTAAATCATCTTTAGAGGGGAACAAAATAGCATGGCAGTATTGTTGGGTAATGCTGCAT